CAGTCCAGTCCAGTCCAGTCCAGCCACACAATCCAGTGCAGTCCAGCTTGACTAAAATAGTCTCAGAAATGGCATTCCAGGCAGAATTCGAAGTTCAATATTTTGATGTATTTCCGGACTTAGCAGTTCCTTTCATTTACTGTATTTCAAACAGTTCTCCTTGAACTTGTTTTTATTTTCAAACACTTGTATTTTTGCTTTACTTCCCAGTTTTATTTAGATAAATTATGAAGTCCTTACCAGTCTAAGGCATAGAAAAGAACTTACTTGGGAGATATTCTTCACCCAAATTCACAATCGTTTGTTTAAAGTCAATAGCTTGGGGTGCAAATTATTCTTACTCTCAAAATCTGTTAGAATTGAAAAATTGCTAACGGTGGCACGCTCGACACACAAAGAAAGTTAATTTATTGACCAACCATGGTCTTTGGATTAATGGGGAACTTTACCCTACCATCACAGGTACTAAACACAAAAAGGGGTGAACAGCTCCCAACAATGCTTATGAAATTTGAGGCATTTATCTCGTCACTTCCATCTTCTTTTTCTAGCTTCTCATTGCTATCATTATTTTGACACACACCAATTCCTAGAAAATGCTGCAACCACCCAAAATCACTCATTTCATACTTTTTCATCATATCTCCCTTGAATTCAGAAATCATTTTTTCACAACTTCCAGTAAACACCAAATCAGACAATAAGGATTTTTGAGTTACCTTTAGTCTTGGTGTACAAAGTAGCATCACTCTTGCTTCTTTGAAAACCATTGTTGATGAAGTAAGCATCTATCTCCCCATACCATGCACGAGGTGCTTGCTTCAACCCATAAAGTGCTTTCTTTAACTTGTACACTTTCATTTCTTCTTATTTGATGACAAAGCCTTGTGGTTGATCGACATACACATCTTCATGCAAAACCCCATTTAGAAATGCTGACTTCACATCTAGTTGGTACAAAAACCAACCATTTTGAGCCCCAATGCTATCAGGATTCGAATGATGTCAAGTCTTTCCATCGGTGCAAAGGTTTCATGAAAATCTACCCATGGTTTTTGTGAGTAGCCTTTTGCAACTGGCCTTGCCTTATTCTTTTGGATAGAACATCAAAATTCAGCTTTGTCTTATAAATCCACTTCACATCTATGACATCTTTGTCACTAGGTCTATCTATCAATACCCAAGTGGAATTCTTCTCTATCACATAACTTTCTTCCTCCATTCCTTTCTTCCAAGCTACATCATTCATCGCTTCTTCAAAACTCTCTGGTTCAATAACATAGAAGTTACACCTAGCAAACACACCACTGAGATTCGTTATCTTTATTGGAATTGAACTAGGCGGAGAAGTTTGTGATCGTGATGTTGAAGAACTTGCTACTTGATGAGATTGAGGTGTTGAAGGACTTGAAACTTGTGGAGATTGTGGTGGAGTGTGAAGGCCTTCCTCTTCATTCTCTTATACTTCAATGTCATTCTTAACATGAAGTGGAAAACGTTGGACATATTTGTTCTTCCAATCCCAGCATGCTTCTTCATTGAAGACAACATCTCAAATGACTCACAGATGGTTTTCTTCCACTGTATGCTTCAAATGGTGTCAAATCCTTCACAGTTTTAGTAGGACAACGATTCAACAAATACACAGTTCTATAAGCTGCTTCTCCCCAAAAGACATAGGGTAGTTCCTTCTCATGTAACATGGACTTTGCCATTTCGAAAATAGTCTTGTTCTTCCTCTCAACTACTCCATTTTGTTGTGGAGTTTAAGATGCAGTAAGTTGCCTCTTAAGTCCCATATCCTCACAAAATTTTCCAAACTCATTTGAAGTGTACTCACCACCTCTATCACTCCTTAGAGTTTTATATTTTTAAACATCTTTGATTCTCCACCATCGCCTTAAACTTCTTAAAAATGGAGAATACCCTTGATTTTTGCCTTAGGAAATATATCCATGTCATTCTTGAAAAATCATCTACAAAAATTAAAAAGTATCTATTAACTCCATAAGTGGCAGTCTTCATTGGTCCACACACATTCGAGTGGATGAGCTTCAAAGGCTTAGATGCTCTCCATGCTCATTCACTTGGAAATGAGTCTTGATGTTGCCTCCCAATCGTGCACCCTTCATATGCTTCTGTTCCTTCTTGGATTGAGGATAAACCAATCAACATAACATGTTGCTGAAGAGTTTTCAGACTTTGGAAATTGAGATGCCTCAGCCTTTTATGCCATAACCAAGATGGTTTAACTACATCCAACTTCATTGCAACTGAATTAGAATAATTCATTTGAAGTGGAAAGCTTCTATTTCCTTTCCTTCTAACCCTTGAAATAACCTAACTTTTGTCCACTTTTGTCCTTTCCTTCTATCACTTAACTCCTCACCATATGACCTCAATTGATTTATCACATCAATGAATCTAGTAAAGTAATCTTTCAACAATTCATTATCTTTCATTCTTGCATATTCAAATCTCTTCTAAGAGTCTGACATTTTATAGATCTTACCTTTTCTGCACCTCTAACTCATTCTCCAAGACATCCCAAGCATCGTTGGCTTTTGTCTCATTGGAGATTCTTGGAAACATGTCTTCAAAAAGACCCATATGAATCAGATATAGAGCTTTGACATCCTTCTTGATGTTTTCTTCCACCAATGCTCTCTCTGCTACAATGAGCTCTGCTTCCTCCTTAGGTTCAACAACCCCAGTATCAACAAATTTTCACAACCCATAAGAGGTGAATAGGGTCTTCATCTTCACTCTCCAACAATCATAGTTTTCACCATCAAATATCGGAGATGAGAAACTCCTATCAATTGGTACGCCCAAGTGTGTAGCAAGGCACGGGTTGAGGAAATTGAATGTGGCTCCAGAATCTATGAAAATGTGGATTGGGACATTATTGATGATGCCCTGTAAACGCATTGTGCGGGGATAATCGGGGCCTTGGATTGAATAGACTGTGAAGTCGGTGGAAAGCTCCACGGGCACCTGTTCTGGAAGAGCCAACTCCTGGTGACAGTCATGAAATACCGAGGAGTCATTGTTGCGTCGATACAGCTGCACCAAAATGGATTCAGTTGCATCCTCAACTTGTGATACTCGCAAGTGCACGAACCGTTGGTAGTTTAGCGTATGTAAGTGCGAGGTCGATTCCACAGGGATTGGTGATTGAATGATCCAATTTAGTTTCCCTACACAAAACAGAAATGAAAAAGAAAGGAAATAAATAAAACAAGGAAGAAAGAAATAACTAACTCAAGCAAATAAGTTCCCAAGTTCAATTTAGATTAATGGATTGATTCTAGCTAAAGTATGATTAAGCCATGGTGTGTGGTCATAACCTTGTGTTCCTAATTCCCTAATTTGATCATTTGTTGTCTAACCTAAAATTAAGCATTAGGAACCCATTAAGCATAGAAGAACAATTTAAACAACCAAGCATGTATCTAATCCCTGTTGTCGAATGTCCATACATACTCTTCCTATTCATAGTTCAATTCGAATTAAAGCATGGTGTATACTCTTAATTCAAACCAAGATAGCTAACATGCAAGACTAAATGGTGATCAATCATTCAAACTAGCATATTAACTCATAAGCATAATGAATAAGAACAAAAACCATAATTGAAACTTGGAAACTAATCAAACACTTCTCTAGAGCTCCCTTCCCTTCACTCCCTCAAATTCTCTTAGTTTCTCTTTCTAGTCTTCAATTGTTATAATGAAATATTTGTGCTGAAATTTTCCTTAAGTTTTTCTTAGTTCCACTTTACTTTTCATTATGTAAATTCTTTTCTTTAGTCTCAAGTTTGATTAGTTTCCAAGTTTCAATTATGATTTTTGTTCTTATTCATTATGCTTATAAGTTAATATGATAGTTTGAATGATTGATCACCATTTAGGCTTGCATGTTAGCTATCTTGGTTTGAATCCAAGAGTATTGAGTCAGTTACTGTCACAGGCCCCCGTGCGGAAGCAAAGTAGGGCATTGTTGTGTAGATACAGCTGCACCAAAATGGATTAAGCTGCATCCTCAACTTGTAATACTCGCAAGTGCACGATCCGTTCGGTAGTATAGTACATGTAAGTGCGAGGTTGATTCCACAGGGATTGGTGATTGAATTCATTGTTACCTAAAGCTGAAAGATAAACACAAAAAGGATTAAAAGCACAAGTTTAACTCAAAAACATAACCAAATCATAAGCTAGAAGGGTACAAAATGATATACAATTATGAAACGATCAGTCATCATCCGGAATAGTGGCTTCAATGAGGGCTAGCATGGGCTTGAGACAACGATGACCGGGTCTGTATTTTTCATCACATGTAAAACAGAGGCCCTTGGAGCGACGCTCCTGTGCTTCGGTTTGAGAGAGGCGACGGGAAGAAGGGGGTAGGGGATGGGGTGAAGGAGGTGGCTGAGGTGAAGGAGAGTTGTGGGAGTGTGGTTGGGAGGTGGGAGAGGGACGGGGGTAAAAGGCTCGGGCAGAGGTACGTCGGGCTTGCAATTTGGTATTGAAAAGCTGAGATAAACGTTTAGCTTTAGATAGGGTGTTGGGCTGAAGGGCTTGGACATCAAAGCGGAGCTCCTTTCGGAGGCCGCCAACAAAAACCCCTTTTAGCTGAGTATCGGACCATTCTGGTGCTCTACAAGCAATCTTGGTAAAAAGGGTAAGATAATTTGCTAAAGATCCTGTTTGCTGGATATGAGAGAGTGAGGCCTCAAAATCGCAGAGTCGGTCTAGCCAAAGTGCTGAAGCAAGGATGTGGTAAAAAGGGTCCAATCTTTTGGAAAGCGCTGTTCAAAACAACACATCCATAAAGAAGCGTCCCCGAAGAGGTGAACAGCAGCAACCGTAACTTTATCTTCGTCGGGCACCCCATAGTACGTGAGGAAGAGCTCAGCAAAAGCTATCCATTCGTACGGGTCATTGCCAGAAAAGCGTTCAAGATTGGGTTTAAGTGGCCTTGGGGAAGCATGGGAAAAGTGTGGGGTGGGCTGAAGGGAAGTGTGGGTGGGAAAAACAGAGTGGGGTGCGATGGTAAATGGAGTAGGAGATGGAAAAACAGGTTGTGAAGGGGAAGGTGACAATGGGGAGAAGGAGGGAGATGGAGAGAGTCGTTGTGGGAGAGAGGGTGTGTATGGGCGGGTGAAAAGTGGAAAGGAGGGAGAAATGGTGGAGGAAGGGCCAGGATCTGTAAAAGTGGAAATGGCGGATATGGGCAGGGGGGAACTAAAGGTGGATACTTGGCGGTGTGTGTTGAAAGATGGGGATAGGTGTGGGTAAGGGCGGTGGTGGCATAACTCGTCGAGAAAGGTTTGCTGCAGTTGAGCAAACTGGGTTTTGATAGAGGACTGAAGGTTGGTTTGGGCGGTGGTGAGGGTGTCGACTGACTAGAGGAGAGTGGAAATGCTGGTTTGGTGAGCTTCTTGGGTAGAGAGAAGGGAGGTGACGGTGTCTTGGGTATCCTGGAGTTGGGTTTCCAGGTGGTCATGGCAAACGTCCATGGAGATGGTGGCCGGGCTCGGCTCGTGGACGGTAGTTTTCCCAGAACCCATGGTGGGCTCTAATACCAGAATGATGGAGCACAAGGGGTGTGATCCTTAAAAGGGAAAAGACAGAAGTTGGAAAAGGCGTAAATGAGTGAATTGTATATTCTTGTCTCTTATAGTCTGGGACCTCAAGTCCTTTAATACAAAATGATATAAGATAAGACCAGAATAGGGAGAATGCCACATTGCTAGCTATCTAACGTATATGCCCAGTATTCTGAGGTATTCCTTCTTAGGTGGAGAATTCTAGAGAGTTCTATTGCAAATGGTGAAGTTGGCTGGGCCATGGCCTTATGGGTTTCTCCGGTGGGTTGGGCTGTAGCTAGGGCAGAGACTGGTCTCATCACATTGTTGCTGCTACTCGCCATCAGAATTTTTTGAGTTTGAAAGTTAGGGTTTCAAAGAAAGAAATCCCAAATTGAAGAACACAAAAAATACTCCCATCAAGAGATTATGCAAGGATAAGAGAAAGAGAATTTTGGAATTTGAACTCAGAGGTCTAGCTTCGGAGAGAGAAGTCTAGACTTATTTCTCTATTTTTTTCAGTTGATTCACAATGAGATCAACTCTCTCTACAAAATATTCATTACAAGCTTAATTGCCCACTTAGTGGTTAACTTACCTACCAAAAGGAAAGGCTAGAAATAGCCAATTCACATACCACTTATGTTGCCTCCTAATAGCCATACAAACAAAAACAACAATATTAAAGTTTCCCAACAAACATGGCTCAATCTCTTTTAATGTTTTTTCCAGGGAATTACCACTAGAGTTTCCCACAAACGTGGTTCAATCTCTTTTTTTTTTTCTTCGGAAAATTACAATAAGAGCATTACACAAGTTTAACAAGGCCTGCATGATGTATTATATAGACGTGTCATAATTTGTACCTAGTAGCTAGTATATGCACACTAGCCATGTCCTACATTTTGGAGGCACCCGAAATGGGGCCTTCTCCTATATATATTAGTACCAAAATATAGATAACTTACCTACAAAAATATCTGCGCATGTATAGTATATACTACATTAGATGGTGGCAGAGTTTGTAAATAGTGGAGAAGTTATGGGTGCGTCTTATCTTTATTTTGGCTTCATATTATGAAACTATGGCGAACGATATGTTAGCCTGACAGGGGCCGGGACCCATTATCCCAATCATAGAACCATTGAGGACTGAGAAAAATCTACTTAGACTCAGAGCTAGCTAGTGAGCTGCAAAAATGGCAAAGGAAGAGCATTTACCATTGTTTGAGACAAAAAAAGCCAAGGGAAGAGTCTTATTTAGGATTTTTGCAGCTTCTATATTTGCAGGCATATGTTTGATTTGGGTTTACAGAGTAAGTCACATACCAAAAGCAGGAGAAGATGGAAGGTTTGCCTGGATTGGATTGTTGGGTGCTGAGATATGGTTTGGTTTTTACTGGCTCCTCACTCAAGCCTCCAGGTGGAACCCTGTTTATAGGCACACCTTCAAGGACAGGCTCTCTCAAAGGTACCTACTTTTGGTAGATCATTTGCTTCATGTTAGTCTTTCTATTAGTTAATGTATGTATTAATCAATTTGGAACAAATAAGTTTGATTTTATATATGCATTAAATAACTGTCGTCCGTGAAATTTGAACAGATATGAGAATGAGTTTCCTGGGGTGGACATATTTGTGTGCACGGCGGATGCAAGCATAGAGCCACCAATGATGGTGATGAACACTGTTCTGTCAGTCATGGCTTATGAGTATCCACCAGAGAAGCTGAGTGTGTATCTCTCAGATGATGGAGGGTCGGAAATTACATACTATGCCCTCATGGAGGCTGCTGAGTTTGCCAAACACTGGATACCATATTGCAAGAAATATAAAGTGGAGCCAAGATCACCTGCTGCTTATTTTGTCTCAAAACATGCTGATGATGCAGTTGAAGATAATCATCAGGCTAAAGATTTCGTGGTTATTAAGGTACTAATTCTTTAGTCATATTGGGTCCAAATACAATTTTGTTTTATGCATGCTGGTCCAAATATTCTTGATGTTTATATTTACCCAAAACGCCAAAAAGATAACATGAAAAAGGGTTCAACAATGAATATTTTAATTTTTCTTTTTAAAAAGACAAAGTGTGAGTTATGGGAAATTGAGTCAATAATTTGGCTAATCATAAAAAATTAAGGGGCCGTTCGGTATGTTTTCGGAGGCCGTTTTTCGTTTTCATTCTAAGAAAACACTGAGATTTGCGTTCGGTGGTGAGTTTAAGAAACACAAAACGTTTTCTGAAATCATTTTCGACCTTTTAGTAATAATTCACTGAAAACGCAGAAGACATCAAAATAATGTTTTAATTTTCAGAGAACATGGATTCACTGGCAAAAGAACAGTGCATAAGCCACCATCATAACCACCATCGTCAAACACCACTGAACAGCCACTACAGGCCAATCGAACCACAATCACCACAACAGACCAGCCACCTGCTAATCGCACCACCACCCAGTCGAACCTAATCGAACCCTACCATCAATACCATCTTTAGTACCACCACCCACTCGGCAAACTGCCAAGGAGAGAGAGAGAGAGAGAGAGAGAGAGAGCATGGGATGGGAAGGAAGAAGAAAAGAGAAAGGAGAGAAGAGGAAGAAAGAAAGGAGGAGAAAAAAGAAAAAGGAAAGCGAGGGTGTCGGCTGAAAGACTGCTTTTGAGATATTTTTTATTTTATTTTAATTTTTATATTTGCACGTTATTTTAATTTTTTTGTATTTGTTCAAAAATATTTTTTATATATGATAATTTCAGCCTTTAAAAAATATCAGAATTTTTTTTATTTGTTAAATAATACCATTTTCATTATTTCAGCCTTTAAAACGTCACCAGGCCCTAAGAATACGGATTAGGTGAATTGGGTCATCCATGACGTGTTTTCAATCCTGCTGCCTATAATAAGCCAACCCAATGGTTCTCTCTCCTCACACGTAGATTATTCACTGGTCCTCACGCACAAATTTGTGCAAGCATTGTGCATCTTGCCCAAGAATTTATTTTTCCACGATTGATTAGTGCATGTTGACATGGAGTTGAGTGTCTAATTCGCGTTTAATAAAAGGTAGTGGACGAACGAGTTTATACTTTTAACATATAATATCAACAAGGCATATACATGTTTTATAATATAAGCGATTTCACGACACCATTGTGTTACAATGACACTAAAAATTTATTTCATTCATACTTTCCGACATTATAGATAACAAGGAATAATAGTAAGAAATGTTGTTATGTTATTGCTAATTTGCTAGTATATTACATGAAAAATATTAGGCTTACCACATTTTTATACCACATTGTGTACCACATCTCTAATAGAGATGAGCCCCATTGTACTTGTATAATTTCTAACTGGTGAGGTGCCTTTGTGATGATGAATTTGTTGTGGTAGAAATTATACAAGTACATGGAGAATAAAATCGAAAATGCAGTGAAGCTAGGCCAGGTTTCAGACGAAGTACGATCAAAACATAAAGGCTTTTCTCAGTGGGATTCATATTCATCTCGACGTGATCATGACTCCATTCTTCAAGTATGAAAGATAACCAATATCAATTTAATTTGAATTAAGTGCAATAATTGCCTGATATTTTATGCTTAATATATTTTTCTTAAATTTTCTCAGATAGTAATTGATGGAAGAGACCCGATTAATGCAACAGATAATGAAGGTTGTGCGTTGCCAACTTTAGTTTATTTGGCTCGAGAGAAGAGACCCCAGTATCACCATAACTTCAAAGCTGGCGCTATGAATGCTCTGGTAAATTACGTATTTTGTTTCTCATATAAAATAAAAAAATAAAAAAATAAAAAACTGACTTCTTCTTCAATAAATATTCTTTGTTATCTAATATCCTTTGTTAATTTATTTTCAGATTAGGGTATCTTCAAACATTAGCAATGGGAAGTTACTTCTTAATGTAGATTGTGACATGTATTCAAACAACTCCTTGGCCATACGAGATACGCTTTGTTTCTTAATGGATGAAGAGAAAGGCCATGAGATTGCATTTGTACAGTTCCCACAGAATTTCAAAAACCTTACTAAGAATGAATTATACGCTTCATTACGCGTAATCAATGAGGTGAGTATTTGTTGACAATAATTATATATGTGGTAATGGAATAATTATAGTTTGATCATGTTATTTTAAATTTTATTAATTCTTACTTATTTGGAATTATTTGTCTGTGTTGTGTTGTGTTGTGTATACGGAAGGTGGAAGCACATGGTGTGGATGCTTATGGAGGCCCTCTATATGTTGGAACTGGATGCTTTCACAGAAGAGATACACTTTGTGGGAGGAAATTCAGCAAGGATTCTAAGAGTGATATGAAGTGGGATAATAGAAAAAGAGAAGAACTTGGCATTCATGAATTGGAAGAAAACACAAAAAGTGTTGCAAGTTGTACATTTGAAGAGAACACTCAATGGGGAAAAGAGGTCTCTCTCTCTCTCTCTCTCTCTCTCTCTCTCTCTCTCTCTCTCTCTCTCTCTCTCTCTCTCTCTCTCTCTCTCTCTCTCTCTCTCTCTCTCTCTCTCTCTCTCTCTCTCTCTCTCTCTCTCTCTCTCTCTCTCTCTCTCTCTCTCTCTCTCTCTCTCTCTCTCTCTCTCTCTCTCTCTCTCTCTCTCTCTCTCTCTCTCTCTCTCTCTCTCTCTCTCTCTCTCTCTCTCTCTCTCTCTCTCTCTCTCTCTCTCTCTCTCTCTCTCTCTCTCTCTCTCTCTCTCTCTCTCTCTCTCTCTCTCTCTCTCTCTCTCTCTCTCTCTCTCTCTCTCTCTCTCTCTCTCTCTCTCTCTCTCTCTCTCTCTCTCTCTCTCTCTCTCTCTCTCTCTCTCTCTCTCTCTCTCTCTCTCTCTCTCTCTCTCTCTCTCTCTCTCTCTCTCTCTCTCTCTCTCTCTCTCTCTCTCTCTCTCTCTCTCTCTCTCTCTCTCTCTCTCTCTCTCTCTCTCTCTCTCTCTCTCTCTCTCTCTCTCTCTCTCTCTCCCCCCTAAAATTTTAGGGTCAATAACGGTGTACCTCGTTTTAATGATTAATAAATCAATAATGAAATGACACGTAATCATTGTTTAAAAAACCGCCGGTATGATTTAATCTCAAATTTTAATCGGTAATGTGTAGATGGGCTTGAAATATGGATGTCCAGTTGAAGATATAATAACAGGGCTATCAATCCATTGCCGGGGATGGAAATCAGTGTATTGCAATCCAGCAAGGGAAGCTTTCTTAGGATTAGCTCCAGCCACACTGCCTCATATACTTGTGCAGCATAAGAGATGGTCAGAAGGTAACTTTCATATTTTTCTTTCTAAGTACAGTCCTGCTTGGTATGCCCATGGGAAGATTAGGTTAGGCCATCAACTTGGATATCTTCGCTACTCCCTCTGGGCTTCAAATTGCTTGGCAACCCTAGTTTACTCAACTCTCCCTTTGCTTTACCTCCTTAGAGGCACATCCTTATTTCCACAGGTATGGTTCCTATGTCCTTATATCCTCATTATATATATATATATATAGAACCGTACGGTACCTATTTAGAGTATATCTCCCGATGCACGTCTAATGGATTTTGTTTTGTGAATTTAATTAGATGTCAAGTCCATGGCTCATACCATTTGCATATGTGATCATTGGCAAGTACACTTGGAGCTTTGTGGAGTTTCTGTGGTGTGATGGTACAATATTAGGTTGGTGGAACGAGCAACGCATATGGCTTTACCAGAGAACAAGCTCCTACCTCTTTGCCTTCATAGATACCATTCTATTCTCCATCGGATACACTAATTCAGCCTTTGTAATCACAGCCAAGGTGGCAGATGAAGATGTGTCGAAGCGATACGAGAAAGAGATTATGGAGTTTGGAGACTCCTCTCCAATGCTCACCATTTTGGCAACACTTGCGTTGCTCAATCTATGCTGCTTTGCTGGGTTTGTATTGGAAGAAGCAATTGCTGGATCAAAGGGCATTGCAAAAGCTTATGAGACTATGTCTTTGCAGGTTCTTCTGTGTGGGGTTTTGATTCTCATTAACCTACCTTTGTACCAAGGCCTTTACCTGAGGAAAGATAAAGGAAAGATGCCGAGCTCCGTAGCATATAAATCAATGGTCATTGCTGTGTTTTCTTGTGTATGTTTTAAATTATCATATTAAATTAAGGGATTGTGAAGAAATGTATGTTCTAAGAGCCCCCAACCTACAATTATTTTTAATTAACTGCCTCACATCACATTTGGACGTTCCTTGATCATTATCCTGGGACCAACATAGGATTGAAAACAGTTGGTATGAGAATCATTTGCTTAATTATATTTTGTGTACACTCATACTGGTTATGATAAAATGAATAAAAAAACCGTGTTGGATTCTAAATAAAAAGAGCCTCTTCTGAAACTTGTTCAAAAGGGAAGAAGGGCTATCTCCTCTCCTTTATGTATTCAACTACAACAACTGGTTCAGCTGCCAATGCAGGCCCATAAATTAATGGTGAGCATGGGGTACAACTTACAACTTACAAGTTGTCAAATTTAGGAGGATATGTTGAAGGTTGAGTAGAGAGAATGGAGAGTGCAGAGAATTTGGAAGCTACACATATTTTTCTGATTTCAACTTGTTGTTAATTCTATTTCACATCAAAACATTTATACATGTAATTATCCTATACTAATACAAAAGTTCTCCCTAAAACATTCCATGAAACATTCCCTAAGACAAGGATTACATACTTCAAGAAAAGTATTCCCTAAAACAAGGAATGAGACAAGTGTGCCGTGAGACAAGGATTGTCTTGTGTTTCATGTCTTTGTGTTTCACAAGATGACAATTGCACAAGATGCCAATACTGCTAGCACTCCCCCTCAAGTTGGTGCATAGATATCACCAATGCCCAACTTGATCAGTGAGTTGTGGAATACTCTGCTAGAAACTGCTTTTGTCAAAATATCTGCCAGCTGGTCTTCGGACTTGACAAACGGAAGTTGAATTTCTTTATTTTCAAGTTTTTCTTTAATGAAGTGTCGATCCACTTCAACATGTTTAGTGCGATCATGTTGGACTGGATTGTGTGCAATGGATATTGAAGCATTGTTATCACACTGTAGATGCATTCCTAATGTAGGTGCATATCCAATCTCTGTAAACAATTTCTTCAACCAAAGGAGTTCGCAAATTCCTTTGGTCATTCCTCTGAATTCGGCTTCTGCACTAGACAAAGCAACAACATTCTGTTTCTTGCTTCTCCAAGTAACCAAGTTACCTCCCACAAATGTGAAGTACCCTGATGTTGATCGTCTATCAGTGACATTCCCTGCCCAATCTGCATCTGTATAGCCACTGATATTCAGATGACCATTTTTAGAGAACATAAGTCCTTTTCCTGGTGCGGACTTCAAATATTTAAGAATCCGAAGAACCGCATCCATATGATCTTCACTTGGACAATGCATAAACTGACTAGCAACACTTACAGCATACGCAATGTCGGGTCGAGTATAGGATAGGTAGATCAGTCTTCCCACCAATCTTTGATATCTTTCTTTGTTAGTGGGTACTTGATTGGGATATTCCCCAAGGCGGTGATTCTGAACGATTGGAGTGTCCACAGGTTTGCAATCTAACATTCCAGTTTCTGCCAATAAATCTAGAACATACTTCCT